CCAGGACTGTGTACCACTCACTAGGTGGAAAGTCACCCTGTCAGACCATGCCAGTCAAGCCTCCTTCATGCGGTGGGACTGGAAGATACTCCCGAAGCCTCCACCGCAAAATCAGGCAAGTTTCTTACTCTGCTCTAACAAAGTTACTTGGTCATTCGACAATGTGAGCTGTACGTGACGCTATGGATAACTGTTGGTAGGGGCGTCCATAGGGATTTGTGCGGGGCCTGGGGCAAATCCCACCATGTGGGCCCCCAGGTGCCTTCAAACTAAAGCGGAAGTATTACATCTGACGCTGTGACGCCTCCCAAAGCGCGGGGCCCGGGGCAGTCGCCCCATTTCGTTGTACCCCAAGGGACGACTGACTGTTGAGTTGATTAACGTCCTTTGTCTTACGACGGTGATAGTCCATCGAGATTAGTGGTCGCTGATGTACATAAAACGAGCTAATATGCAGAGTTTTTTCAAATATATATCCATTTTTAAACAATTATAGTAGTGTGGATAATTTTAAAGTTTTGGGGGGTTTTGGCTACAATATCAGAATAAAAATGACCTCGATAATTGGTTCTTTACCCTTCTATCTGGCAACAAAACTGACACCTTTTTGCAAGGAGTCATGTTTGCATAGACCGCAATACCTGCAGTCATAATACAAACAAAAGAACATAACTCTGATAATGTGCACTGTCCTTGAAGTTGATTGGTCCACACCCGATACAGCTTTCCTTCGAGCCTAGTCTCATATGGGTTGGACCAGATGACGCCAAAAGGCGCACAACTCAAGGACAATGCACCATCAGAGTATGAGAGCTCGGGGCAAGCATCTACACTATGGGGACCTCATTTGCCAGTAAAAATATGATAATTGGTTCTTTACCCTTCTATCTGGCAACAAAACTGACACCTTTTTGCAAGGAGTCATGTTTGCATAGACCGCAATACCTGCAGTCATAATACAAACAAAAGAACATAACTCTGATAATGTGCACTGTCCTTGAAGTTGATTGGTCCACACCCGAGACAGCTTTCCTTCGAGCCTAGTCTCATATGGGTTGGACCAGATGACGCCAAAAGGCGCACAACTCAAGGACAATGCACCATCAGAGTATGAGAGCTCGGGGCAAGCATCTACACTATGGGGACCTCATTTGCCAGTAAAAATATGATAATTGGTTCTTTACCCTTCTATCTGGCAACAAAACTGACACCTTTTTGCAAGGAGTCATGTTTGCATAGACCGCAATACCTGCAGTCATAATACAAACAAAAGAACATAACTCTGATAATGTGCACTGTCCTTGAAGTTGATTGGTCCACACCCGAGACAGCTTTCCTTCGAGCCTAGTCTCATATGGGTTGGACCAGATGACGCCAAAAGGCGCACAACTCAAGGACAATGCACCATCAGAGTATGAGAGCTCGGGGCAAGCATCTACACTATGGGGACCTCATTTGCCAGTAAAAATATGATAATTGGTTCTTTACCCTTCTATCTGGCAACAAAACTGACACCTTTTTGCAAGGAGTCATGTTTGCATAGACCGCAATACCTGCAGTCATACCCATATGAGACTAGGCTCGAAGGAAAGCTGTCTCGGGTGTGGACCAATCAACTTCAAGGACAGTGCACATTATCAGAGTTATGTCTTTTGTTTGTATTTATGACTGCAGGTATTGCGGTCTATGCAAACATGACTCCTTGCAAAAAGGTGTCAGTTTTGTTGCCAGATAGAAGGCTAAAGAACCAATTATCATATTTTTACTGGCAAATGAGGTCCCCATAGTGAACAATGACCTCTTCTTGGCATTCGTGTCGGGGTTTTTTTTTATGCAAATTGCACGTGCAGGTATATTCCCCATGGGAAACACCGGGGAACATATGGGAAATGACCCAGGCAGTGAGATGCATGGGTGTAAAACACTGCCCACATGCCCCTATTTCGTCAACCCACATTGACCAGCGTAGTGAAGTATGGTCAAATAACCACCATGACCGACAAGGTGGAGGGGGGCGGGGGGAATCCATCAAGCACTGGATTGACAAATTGTTGCCAATTATCATTTAATATATAACAGGATTGTTTGTTGTTGTTAGATCGCGTGAATATAAATGTGTCGTTAAACCCTCCACCACCCGTGACAGCCAATTAGTACGGTTTGTCATGTAAACAAAACGTGCCAATTCGTTACTACTTCAGCACTAAGAGGTTGTGTGTTGGAGAGTAAACAACCCACACCATTTACCATTCCAGTGCGACGTTCCGCCGGTAATCACAACAACCAGCTTCATCAGGCGACAGCCAGAATTGTGGATAAATCCTCCTCCTGTGTCGGTCTTAAATAGAGGGGGGTACATCGTCCCAACATTTTACTTGAGGATTTTACACATGTAATGTACATCACAGCGACTTTATTTCACAATTCTTTTTTAAGCCCAGTAAGTGCATACTCCGATTTACATATTGACTGTGGACAACCCACAACTCACACCTGTCACCGCCCCCCCCCCCCCCCCCCCCAGAGAGATGTGAATGTTACACAGTCTCGCTAACGGAGCTCTTTCTCTCTCTGTCTCTGTGTGTTTTCAGGGAGACGGTCTTAAAAGCCGTTGTGGACAACCGGGCACGGCTGTCTGAAGCGCAGCTCGTTGAGAAGGATGCGGAAGATCGTCCCTAAACACCGCAATGGCGTGACTGACACGCGTACACGCAATCCAGTTATTTTAATCGACAGTAGGGAACGCATTTATTGGAATCGGTATTGATTCGAGTGGCGGGAGAGCACGTGAATGACGTTCAGAGCCAATTTGACAAATATCTGCAGCTGTGACAGTTCTAACAAAATGTACGTGAAGCTGTAAGAAAAAAAAACTTCTGAAAAAGTTATGCTCACGTGTTTCACATGTTATGCAAACTTGGTTTTGGAATTCAACTTTAATACATTCGCGTGTGGTTTGAACTCAAATGTATTAACCTTAACATGGATCATGATCTTATTCTTGGTCAGCAATAGAGTTTGAATCCCATCATATTCCGTGGTGGGGGGGGGGGGGGTTCACACACTATTTTATACCAGGGCTACTAAGATCGGTGAACTGTGATAGATATTTTTTGCTCAAGATTGTTGGTGATTTTGGGAACCTGAGAATGGGATGAAGCTTATGAATTGCTAGTTGCCTTTTGAAGGCGCGTCAAACACTGCACCACATTCTAGTGGTTTCAGGAGGGCTAACGGAAGGATAGATAGTGTCCCCGTGTTGATTGTTTAGCCCTCCTGAAAGTATTAAGCGTTGGGCGTCGCAGCCTATACACAGGGGGTGAGCTCTTACTGTGGTGCGACCTCCAACGCATTATATAATTCAGTAATGCTTATATTGTATCATCCAAATTAATGATTAAGTATGCAGTGTTACCGATTAACAAGCCATATAATCGATGTACCCATATGTATCAAATTTTCACTCTATTGTATTCGTTTAAACATATGTTTTCTCTTGCAAGTTATGAATAAACTATATTTCAATCCACATTACAAAATCTGTTTTCCATTCGTCCAATGCATTACACATGTTAGCAGGGACATCATCATATGAAGACTTCTCGTACGTGGCAAAATGTTGGTGAAGACCACACACGTCATGAGAAACACACTTTCGAGCCAACCAAACAATGTTGCTTTCGCAACAGACAATAACATGCCGTTTAAGTCTTGTTTGGACACGAAGATAGATAATATGAAAGCAGCAGATAAGAATGTATTGCTAAGACAGAGTTGCACAAGACAGCAGTGCAGGTATGGAGCGTGTGTACACCAACGTGGTAACGAGAACGCTCTGAAACTGAGACCCTATTTGTTATTAGGATGTTTCCCAATGTTATGCCAATTATGCTGTCGGGAAGCTTCGCATCAATTTGTAACGCGAACAGAGCAGTGCTGTAACCCTCATGACGTGTTATAAAATGGCTCGCAGAAGAAGATGCCACAAAACTACTTCTGAGATCCTTGCAAGGGAGTTTGTGTCCCGTTTGTGGGGCACGCTCACACTTCCACACACGCACGTCACCACGGAGAAATGTTGGTGACCTGGTAAAACCAACCCAATAATTAGTAATTCTCGGAACTGGAATTTAGCCATATTAAGTAAAGACCAAAGCTAATATGATCGGTTTTGGACCATTAGTGACCAGGCTATAACCATTAACCTACTATAAAGGAAAAAAAAACCTGTTTTTTTTATCAGGGATGGCTATACACACACTTAACCATTACTCATTCGTGCTGCTTCAATGTTCTGACCCATGAAGCCACCTGGTCACTTCCATGGGACCTAAATTAGTTTGTTGGCCGATACCAAATTTCCACCACCGCCAAACCACTCCCCCCCCCCCCAACTGCATAAATATTGGCTGAGTGAAGTCGCATAGGTGTGCCGTTTTCACCACTGGCGACTCATATTTGGTTAAATAAAAACAACCAACAGAGGGCAAGGTCTGTTTAGTACGGCATTTGGACGAAAGATTTTGTATTGAAAAAATGTGTTGAAAGCATTTCGCGCGTAAACATCGTGTAGTTGGTTTGTCCTTTGACGGAGTGGAACGCGCTCTTGCCCATGACGCGTCGCGTGGGTACACGGGCGTTGCTGCACGGCTTTGCGTGGCGTGCGGTCGTTTTGTGCGCACTGGTGGGTGGTGAAAACAAAAAAAAGAGAGGTTCTACCCTTTCCGGCAATAATACAGGGAGGTGTTCAGATGTTCAAACGCCAAAATAGACGCAACAATTGCAAGGCAGAAAGCCTGCTTTTGAGCACATGTGATTTTGGTAAAACATGCAAACAAACATGCTTTAATGATGTGCAGTGACACGGCGCTGACTGCTGTACAGCAGCAGCAACTGCAGGTAGACACTTAGCGCACATGCCATTGAGCAAATACGTGGGTGTAGGGCAAGGGTCACGGTAGACCTCGTGAGGAGGCCCCTTGAACCCTCTGGTGGGTTCGAGAAGGGAGGCTAGGGCGGAGCCAAGCTGCGCCGAGGTGAATAAAAGCAGTGGAGAGCAGAGCTCCGGGCTGCTGTGTCTAAGGTGGACTCGTCTCGTCGTCGTCGCCCTCATTGCTGCCGCCTTCACCCGGACAGTAGTTGGCTGTCTCGGTCGACGCCGTCGGTGCAATGTAGACAGGGTCGTGTCTGGGCCGGGTTGGATGGCAGCGTGGTCTTGAGAGAGGGGGCCGAAGTTGGTGGCATGAAATGTAATCAAGGAAGGACGGTGCCCCTTGCGACTACCTCGTCTCCGTCTGTGCGCCGCACGCCACCCGCACACACACAATCCTCGACGAGGGAGAAGAGGCCTACGACACTACAGATGTACGCGTTGTCTTTGAAACGTATTGGCCTACACCAGCCTACTGTATGGCCTTGTCTTTTATCAGTGTTACACTAGAGAACGGCCAAAGGCTGAGCACAAAGGCAATGCAATTAATTATCAAAGCACTAATTGCACAGGTTGAGCAGTTATATCGACAGGGACCCTTTCACTTTGATATTCTGATACTGGCAAAAAGGGTCCCAAAGATATTGTTCGGTGGGGGTGGCTCTGAGGGTGTCCCTTTGGCCCCGTCGTTGTATTTTGTGAAGGGTGCACTTAAGGTTAAAATGTGAAAAGCCGTTCAGACAACCGAAGTGGTGTAAACTAATATTGACCCAGGGCGGTGTGTGTGACACGCGGGAGGGCTGTTGTTTTTTTTTCGTTTACCTTGCAGATGGAGAGCTGGGAAGTGTTGATTTCGGTTGGTTTGGCAGAATCAACTTTGCAAAGGTCGACTTCTGCAAATGACAGGTGTGGTAAACAATTATTGATTGTATCACAAATGTAATGTATAGCACCAACAATGTTAGATGTGAGAGTCCATGGGACACACATGCCGCCTGCTTTGTGCTAGCCTTGAGAGCACAGTAGCGTGTGTAGATCGATGTCAACGTAGTGACTAAGCTATTATTGATTTAAATTACGCTTATGCAATGCATGTCTTTACAAACTTTGTTCCCATCAATTCCCAGAAAATGTTTTATCAATGTTCCGAGTAGTGATATACCCAAATCAATAAGTCAAAATTGTGTCCGTGATAACAATTTCTATAAGTTAATGACAACCCTCCCACCCCCTCACTGGTCTTCTGTCGAGGTCAAATGCACTCATGCGCCTTGGACAATGCTGAGCACAGAGGCATACCGGCTGAGGATGCCGGGCTGTTGGGGAGGGAATTTGTCTGGCAGTGGTGGAGTCGTGGTCGCTGGCACAACTCTCCGAGTCTCACTCATCTCGGCAGGGTGGTTGCACGCATTGGTGGCAACAGCAAGAATCGCCTGGGGTTCAGTTCCCGACTCGGGATCCTGTCTGTGCGCGGAGTTGCTAAGTTGCAGAGCCATCGCTAGTCACTGCAAATTGAGACCGTGTTGTGTTGGAGTGTGCATCGCTGCTACGTACGTCAAACAAAAAATGAAAACCAGCGTGGGAGCACCTTACATAAAATGCCCAAACCCAGGTTGCTCACTTAATAAACAAAAACAAACATGGATGCTCATTGATTTCCATTTTATACGAAGTGAATAATTCAAACACTTGTTTCTCACCTTCGGGGCGAATTTCACACAGCTGTGTGCATAACGTGCTCAAGAATATCTTCTCGACTTGAAAGGCATGCTGGGATGCCTCTTCTTCATTGTTGTTTCGGTTTGTTGAGGGGTGATTTGTAAGCTCCCATGCAGCACCTCTTCTATGTATGCAATGTTGCGCTTCTTTCGCACCGTACGTAGCCAACCGTGCTAATCGGAGGTGCGAGATGAAGGACAACAAACTAAAGACAAGAAAAGCAGCGCGAAAGAAACGAGTTTTCAATCAAGATGCAAAAAGTGGACAGCTACAGTGGCTTCTTAATATCGGAAGAAAGAGTGTTCCAGACGCCCGCAGAAGCGCATCTGAAAGCGCCGCGCGATGCGGCGACCGTCTTTGTTCGACGGCCAGCCCGCCGCTCCAGCAGCTCCAGCTACACCGGCGGGCGATGGGCAACCCAGGCGAGTTCGTGGGCCACACGAGCGACCATTCCTCCACCTCAGTGGGCCGCAAGCTTGGCATTGTGCTCGTGCACTTACCATGGCACCCACGCATCACCCGAGAGGCCCTTAGAGTAGGGCTGAACGATTTGGGGAAAATATCTAATTGCGATTTTTCTGATATATTGCGATTTGATTTGCGATTCAATTGTTTAAGGTTAAGCTTCAGTTCAATTTTCACTGTGCAATAGATTTAAAACATGTGATGGAGCATTACCACATGATACCATCAAAATATTAACTGCGCTATATATTCTAATGCAAGGATGAGAACTTAAGATATATGAATTGCTTCCAACATGTATCTATCAAAATGTTTAAATTGAGAACAATTGTTAAGTTAAATAAATAAAGTTATAATAACAAAAAAATAAAACAATTCCAGGAAGAAATTAACAGGACTTTTCAAATCGCAAAAAATCGCAGCCTTTGCAATTTGCTAATCGCATTGTTTGAAATTGCGATTTCGATTTGAAATCGATTAATCGTTCAGCCCTACCTTAGACCGGCCCCCCATGCGGGGTTAATGCAGACTTGATTCCTTGTAAAAGGTTTCAGTTTGGTGTTGTAATAACTTAACACCTGTTTTGCGGCCAGATAAAAGGGGGAAAAAACCTATTCTCATTGTATTAAGTTGCTTCATCACTTAATCTAGCTAAATTCCAGCTCTTTGAATTTCCCATTTCGGTTTCGTTGACTGGCATTGAAAGATCTCTGCAAGGGTGTTAAAAGGTGCGCCCCAAATGACGGCAGATCCCATAGGTGACTTGTTTACTACTGTGCAGCAGTTGTGGGATCTGATGGGAGTAGCATTGATGAGGTTATTATGAACTGTATGGTGAAATTCTTTCGACTGTACGTAGTCCACCGTACTAATCGGAGGTGCAGGGGAAGGACAACAAACTAAACACACAAATCAGTTCTGGAGAAATTAGTTTTCAATCTAGATTTAAAAGTGCATAGCTCCAGTGACTTTCTAATATTGGAAGGAAAAACGTTCCAGACGTCCGCAGCAGCGCATCTGAAAGCACACGCTGCAGTGACCGTCTCTGTTTGATGGTTAGCTAAAATCTGCTGCGAGGATGACCGGAGTTTGCTTGATGGTATATGCTTCTTGACGAGATCAGCAACGTCCTGTAGTTCATTTGCGGCAAGCACTTTGTGTGTAATGAATGTGACCGCATCATGGATTCGTGTGGTAGCATCTACGGCTTAAACCATTACGACATCTTCATCGAATGCGAATGAGAGTCTACACCGAGGGGACTTCTAAATTATTTCTGCGGCCACTTTACAGGCTGCTCTCTCTCCAGACGAGAGTTCCAAGTGACATTTTTTTCATTCAGTGAAATTACACAATTGGAATATAATCGGGGGAAATAAATTAGGATAAACGATGCATGCTGTAGGCTGTTTGGAATATAATTGTAAACCCAACTATCTAAGGCCATGAAGTGAGCCCAAAGCAGGGTTTGTTGTGCACTTCTTATGAAGGACTCAAGACTCATAACAGTAACATCATCCGTAACAGCAACATCATCCGTAACAGCATCATCATCCGTAGCAGCATCATCATCATCCGTTGCAGCATCATCATCAACATGCATCCACAACTTCCTGCCCCCTCCTCTTCTGGCTTCCACAGCCCCTTGACATTGCATGAGCTGAGCCAAGTAACAATACCCAGGCCCACCCAGCGTGATGAATGCCCTCTCCTGCTCATCAGGTGAGCATTGTTCCAATATAATAATCGAGTTAACCCCACAAAAAGCGGCGAATATGTAAAACGCCGACTCCTTCATCGTCTGTAACAAGAGAGTTAACACCGATAACCTTCCTTCAATAAATATCCTGAAGCTGAAGATCAGTGCAAGATAACTGCATTTGCAAATGCGATTTGTAATTTGCATCCTTACCCACGAATTGATATTTACATTTTAATGTGGACGTTTATTGAGGGACTGTGTGCTGTCTTGGTGTGGTCTTGGACTGTTCTTGTTGTTGTTTCGCTGCCTTGCCCAAGCTGGGGAGTTGGTGTACTTATGCAATTTGAACTTATAAATTTGATGTATTTTAGCGATTTACTTACCTTCCCTATACTTTGCACTCCTATCGTTATTTGTATGTTCTGTTGTTGCCACTTTCTGACCCGCCCCTTCTGTAAATCTGTGAAAAAAGAGTTTAATAGCTCATCTGATTTCTCCAGGATAAATAAAGATTCTGATTTTGGTTGTGCTGGATTGCCCCATGTAACATTGAATCTGTCATATCCCAAGAACTGCAATGAAAAGTCACGTTGATATATTGTTTGAAACATGGAGATCTCAATGTACAATGTGAAAATTAGCAGGACCGGCAAAACTATTCACCTGCTAACAGGGACTGTTGAGTAGTGAAGGGCCCCATGGTGGCGGGATGTTAACTTCTTCACCTGGTCTACAGGAGGTCCGTGGGTTCGATCCCGACCCTGACGCCTTCTGTATATTTGGAGTTTGCAATGTTCTTCCCGTGTTCGCATGGATTTTTCTCCAGGTCCTCGGGTTTTCTCGCCTTCACATTGAGAATCAACGTGCGTTTAGAGTATTTGGCTGCGATACATTTGCACGTGATTATTAGCCACTCTGTTGAGCTATCATTTGTGGATGGGTCGCTTCTGATAAAGAGCTATATAGCTCAGTGGGCCTTACCTGGTAAAACAAAAATATTGATTTAAAACTTCTGTGACTGCAGGGATTCATATTCTTGGATATTTTGGTAAAGTCATCACGTAGAAGGGAAATAATAATAAAAATAGTAAAAAAAAAAGACAATAATAATTCTCACGACGTTTCGACTGCAACATAAGCAATCATCATCAGGTGTGAAATCCACAGCAAGAAAAAAGAATGATTGCTTGTGTTGCAGTCGAAACGTCGTGAGAATTTTTATTGTTTTATATATTTTATATTATTATTTCCCTTCTATGTGACTTTACAGAAAGATCCAACAATATAAAACAAAAATAGTTGAATAGTTTCGGTTTAATTTAGTTATACATCCACTTCATATTCATGTAGGCTGTAAAAAGTAATTGTAGAGGAATATCGTGCCGCATGAACACAGCCAAACCAGTATAAATCACTCGTTCTGAACCATAGTTTTATTCTGTCATGCAAAATATTTCCAACTCTTTCTTTGGGCCATCTGACATACTGTTCACAAATATTTAACACATATTCACAGTCGTGTGTGCTCAGATATGTACAACTATCATGTCTATATTGCGAATAAAACAAAAAAAATAAAGAAATGTAACTTTCGGCCTTTCCGAAGAAATGCTTACAATTAATTTGGAAGACCCTTTTGGACCTGTAAATAATTAAAATAAATTATTTGGAGTGAAAAAATTCAATAAAAATCTTAAAGCTACGCACATAATCTGTTCTAAAGAGGTACTAGGTTGAAGTGTCAAATATATCATCCAACATGTAGGCCAGCTACTAAATAAAATACTGCATATATATAAAAACAAACCTCCAAATGAAAAATCTTCCATCACAATTCCTGCACCAGCTTTAATTTGCATTGCTGATGTTTAGCAACTCCTGCAGTTCCGCGTGCATAAATCAAAAAGGAAAGAGTTTTACAGTGACGCGAATATAAATTGCTAAGCCATACACACAACAATGCACTTCACCGGCAGCCCGTATGGTTTTGATGTGGTACGGCACATACAATGGGTGTTTTAAGTGAAACCCACACTTACCAGAACGAGATGCATTCGTGAATTTAACATCCAAAGTTTACAACCGTCACCCCGTCCTCTCCCAACTAATACGTGTGAAACGTGGTGTGAACTTGGAGACAACTCACAACAAAGTCGTCCAGACAAATCCATGGGCAACGGAGCCCTGGATGTTTGTGTTTGTTTATCTGGCCACTGTAATGCAACATCTTGTGTAGACAAACGCTACTTTAGTTTGTGGCCACTGGGCACAAAAGCGAATGGTGTGTAAGAGAAGCCCATCAAGAAACGTCGTCAAGTTGTCCGACTATAGCATCGCAAATTTAAATCACCCCAGGATTATTTGATTCATAAATATAACAAAAACATGAAACAGTACACAATGCATAACTTTATACTCGCACAAAATAGCAATGTTTGTGTCCAATTCAGTCTCGGAGAAGATGATGTATGAACGATTGTAAACAACAACAGCAACAACAACAACAAAAATGAACGTTTATAAACTGAAATTTACGTACGCTAATTAAATGTACAAACAAACAAAATACGTTTACATTTTGTTTGGCTATGTTCATTGGCTATGCTCACACGTGGAATGCATTCTAAAGGCAAGTTAGCTTTGTTGGACAACTCGACAGCAGTGCATTTGTGCCAGCCCACGCGCCAGTGAAAAGGTTTAACGCAATGCCACCCACACAGTGCTGCTGCTTGCTGATGCTGCGCAGCCCAGGGTGGAAAGTGCTTCCTCAGGTTGGGAAGCACCGCTCTTGTCGCCCTTCAGCATATCTGGCGCTAAGCTTCTCGTTGTTCATGCCCGACAGCCGGGTGACAACTAATTTTACGTAAATATCCGCCGGACATCATCTGTGTGTTTTGGTGTGGATTTATCTAAACGTTTATGTTCACACTACTGGTGCACACAAACTGCACTTGCACTCTGGATTATTATGTTTTGGCTTGCTTAGACTGGTAGAGCAGTTAGACCAGACTCTTCTTTAGCTTATTAATTATATTCTAAGGGGTCAATATCATAATTTGAGTCATCCGACCACTATTCTAGGTTGGTGAATGTTTTTGATGATCGGGGTGAAAGAAATGTAGCCAGACGAGATATTTCTACGCATATTGTCGTGGATTTGTGTTACTTTGCATCTTGCATATGGATGCTTCTGCCATTGATTGTTTCCGTTACAAATGTTGCCGACAAAGGGAGCTGCCAAGTCTTGACAACACCGACAACGAAGCAGCGGCACGAGCACTGACACGAGGCTGTATATACAAGGCCTCCACTGGCTCACCTCAACGTGATCATGTGAGTGCAGAGGATGGGTTCAGTGGGATGAATGTAGAAATGCAAAGTTGTAAACATTGGCATTTAAATGTAATGGACATGTGACACGAGTTTAGACTGCATTTGAACACCCAACGAAGAAGCATATTTTGGCTCCGTATTTAACGTTATATTTATACACCTTTTTTCCCCAATGCATTTTCACAGGATTTGGGTTAGCTTTTACAGGAAAGCAGCACCACCTCTGATGACGGGTGAAACAAAGCATTTGACGAGAACCAATGTTTGATAGCTATTTACAACGATGAGTAGAAGATTGGAATTTCAGGATCTTTAACTGTGGACAGGTTTCACCCAGCAGCAATCCTGCAACCACATGGCCCCAGATTTGACCGACAGGACCCCCCCCCCCTCCCCTTTGCACGGAGGGTTGGGTGAATATCAAATTCCTCAACCAATCTTTTAACTCTTGTAGAGTCAACGGAGTAGTAACAATACACGCAGGTAAAAGCACAGTTCTGCCATGTCTTGCTCAACGCTACCGCTGGCGGAAGGCTCTGGAGAGCCCTTCTGGAGATGGTGTTTTGGCCTACGCTTATGCGCGGGCCAGACGTCTTGGAAGAGGTGGGAGTCCCCAGACTTTACCCCACCACACGCAAACCTGTCAATAAACGCATCCGTTTGCACTGCAGGGTGGACCAAGGCCATGGAGGGTGATTTAAGAAACTTGCCCCATTGTTTCAACTGCCACACCGGGAGATTGAACCGGTGACCTCTGGGATCACAAGTCCAGTGTGCTGACCGTTACACCACTGTGGCAACATCCCAACTATCTATCTTATATATATTTATATAGCAGCATCTTATTCCAAGGGGCTGTACGACAACTATAAAATTGTACATAAGATGATAGTGCTTGGGATAAAGAGTGGGGTTATTACTAAAAGTGGCGGTATAGTTATGGTGAGAGTTATGAGAAAATGTGGGAGTGGTTAAGGAAGAGTTGGGGTAAGCCTGGTCGTAGCTGGGTGGTGCGGGCAGGGAGTAGCAGTAGGGGTAGTGATAGGGGTTGAGGTAGTGAGTGGGGTTGGGGTAGTGATAGTGAAAGGGGTAGTGATAGGGGTTGGGATAGTGATATGGGCTGGGGTTGTGATATGGGTTAGGGTAGTGATAGGGGTTGCTGTAGTGATAGGGGTTGGGGTAGTGATAGGGTTAGGGGTAGTGATAGGGGTCGTGATAGGGGTTGGAGTAGGCCTGATCTTAGCTGGGGGTCAGGAGCAGGGAGTAGCAGTAGCAGCAGGATGGGCTAGGGGAGAATAGATGGGGTTGCTTTCAGGGAGGCATGGCAGCAGGTTAGTGAAGACGATATAATGTTATATTGGGTTCACCTTGTGGTATTGTTCAGAAAAGCTTCCAAGGTTCAAGCTTTAGAGAAAAAAAAATTACCAGGGAGATTCCACGAAGTGTTCCTGCCAAAGGCTCATGCATGAAAACTGAACACTGCCTCTGCGCTTCCAGCGAAACAGCTGTACCCAATGAGGAGTGGACGTGGACTTGCGCAAAATTTTCCTCTTTTCATCGAATAGTTCTTATGTCCTCCACTTCAACGCCCGAGAACAGCGTCGACCACCTCATTCCACACGCAGAGCTAGGGTTCAATACTGCATCGCATTCGCACGATGAGGGCATATACGTGACTGATTCATCCGGCGGAGGGAGCAAACCTACGATACATTCATCTGCTTTCCCCTTAACAGATTACAATCGAGCATCACTTTTATAACTCTGGCAAAACAATCAGCTCCGTTTTCCAATAAACGCAATTCGGGGACAACACGCAATGTGTTTCACCCTTCCCATCAATGCCCTGCATGTGTGTGTTTTGTATACGATCCCTGAAAAAACCCCTTCACGACAAAATGCCCATCGTTTTGGCTATACATAGCGAGCGTGACACATTATATAGCGGAGGGGGGGGGGGGCATGACTGACGCTTGGCAACCGTCATGATGTGAAATGCAGTGCGAGACGTGTACCAGCTTGGCCAATGCCGAGAGCATCGTGGGGTTTGAAGCGGCACGGCATTTAAGCGGCGCGGCGTGGTCAGCCATACTCTATACGATGGCATCCCCATCGGACACGTGCCCGTGATAAACCGAAAACGTCTCCATCTGCTTGCCGTTCCTTGCCGTTCCTCGGTGACTTGCATGGATAACAATCTCCCGTTGTTATCCAGGTGCATTCGTGAATGTTATTAATGACAGCAGTCGGTCCGTGCAGCCACAGGCAGCAGTAATCGATGGTCTCGTAGGCTGCCCGGCTCAGGGGAGGCTTCACCAAGTTGCAGAAGACCCGGACCCCTTCGCGGTGGCAGATTCGGGGCATCCCTCTCCGTCGGAGAATTCAAACTGCATCGTATTCTGCAACAACAGCAAAAATACACAAGTTGTGTTTAGCTTAATTTGTGCCCGTTTTTGTTTCACACAACGTACGAGTTAGTTTTGACTGCCAGCAGCGTTGAGAAGATCACGAAATGCTGACTCTTATTTGAATCACTGCCCGGGATTTCTCTTTAGGAGGACATGCGCTCGACCGTTACCACAACAGTGCCAAATGGAATACTTCACTTGAGCCAGCAATTGAACTCAAACGCAAAGAGCAGTGCTGCTCCTCATCGTTCACTACTCGCGTGAACGCTCGCCAATCACACATGCAATAAAAAATAATAAATCCCTCAGACCTTGGTGTGAGCAATTAAAGCAAAATTGAGATACATAGAGGATGTTTTTGATGTAGTTACTGGTGACCAGGCTGGGGCAATGTAGCTCTGCATGAGAAGATATTTTTTACTTGGCATGAGTCAAAGGTTTTACCCCAGGATTTCAACAGTGCGCAGAAGCCTGGTACAGCAATTCATCTAAGTAACTATTTTCATTTTATTTGACTAGGTAAGGCCTATTGAGCTATATAGCTCTTTTTCAAAAGTGACCTGGCCACAAATGATAGCCCAACGAAGTGGCTTATCATGTGGAAATGTATAGTAGCCAAATACTCTAAATGTATGTTTCTAAATGTGGAGGGAAAAACCAGAGGACCCGGCGAAAAATCCATACGACCACAGGGAGAACATGCAAACTCCAAATATACGGCAGGTGTCAGGGTTGAGATCGAACCCACGACCTCCTGTATACCAGGCGAGGTAGTTAACATCTCACCACCGTGGTGTCCCTCATCTCGTTAAGAGACCGTTGTTCCCCCTGCTTGTCCATGGCAGGTCAATGTAGATTACTTGGTGACTGCAGAGATAGTCCAGGAACCAGTGAGGACCGCAATGCCACTGACGTGACCCGTAACTTGGCCAGTGCATGCAGGCTTTATCGAATTGCATGTGTCAAATTTTTAAATGGATAATCTGATGATCGTGGTATGAACATTTACCTACAACGGTGAATACATTTCTTTTTATATATTAAAATATATTATTAATAAAATAATATATACTTTTATGAATGCCATGTTGACACAAGTGGAAGGCTATGTTCATCTCAGTTGATGGTTGAGAGTCAGTGATAGAAATTCCATAATTCCTATCTTAGTTTCCTACATAGTTATACCAATTTTATAGATCCCCAGAAGGACACACAGGCTGAGTTGACCCCACCACCCGACCTAGATTTGACCGTCCAATTTTGAGAAGAGCAACTCTCTTGCGTCGTAGCCTCCCAGCCAGTTCAAAAGCGAACGCAGAAGTCAAACAAGCGGCGATCGCGCCGCACAAAGCGGGCACCTCCGCAAAGTGGTCCTGCGAGGCGGCGGCCGTCTGCCCGAGCGAGATCTGCGTCTTGACACGCCGCACGACGCGCTCCTTCTCCGAGAGGCCGTCCGATGCGGTCGAGAGGGCGTCCAAGGAGAGGTCGGGGGTGCGGCGACCCGGCGGCGGCTCAGGGGAGACGCGGCCCTTCCGGGACGACCCTGACCCGGACCCGGACCCCGAGCCCGAGCCCAGGCCGGCGCCGCCGCGGCGGCGGTGGTTGTGGTGGGCCGGCGTGGGGCCGGTGCGCGAGTCCGTGGTGGCGCCCGGCGAGCGGTCGCTCGTGTTGCCCTCCTCGCCGTCCGACGCCGAGGGGTTCTCGGAGCTGATGGTGGAGTACGACTGGCAGCTGCTTACGCAGCGCGCCGGCCTGGCGGTGAGGAGGGGGGAGGGGTGGGCGGAGGGAAGAGACACAATTGCAGCGAACGACAGGAACCGATACTCATCCAGAAGGTGATGAAAGATGATACAAATGCTGAGTGTATTTATGTTTAGGAGGAATCTGGACAGGTCTGGTGTTAAGCATAATTGCCAATAGACCACGATGAATCGTAAATCAATTCGGTATCTATACTGATATCAATACAGTAATACCCTGGTTTACATCAGGGGGGGATGCATTTCTGAAAGGTGAGATGATGAATATCGAAACGGCGTAAATCAAAGCAATTTACAGGCTAGGTAGAGGCGAAGGCCGAGAGGCAACAGATTCGAGAAAGGACGGACGATGCTGTCAGTGATGTAAGTGTGGGGGTTGAGGCGACGCAAAACAGGTGGTGGTGTTAATAATGTGACAATGTATTTGCAAAACGACATTAAACACGTCACTTAAAAGGTGAGACGTAATTCGGGGTATTACTGTACCATGAATTGTATATATATATGTAATGTAGTTCTCAGAGACACCATCTTGTTCAGTTATATGTATATTTATTATAAGTAAAGTCCGCCGACTCACTGAAAGCTTAACGAGTAACCACGAGTGACTATATACACTTGGGTAACTTAGACAACTCTATTATTCTGAGACAACATAACTCTAGCCTTCCAAGACTACAAGGTGCCCACTCCAGGATGATGAAGACGACCCGCTCCAAGGTGACGGCGGCGACGGCAGTTCCCCCACAACAGCAGCCCTGAGCCCCGGTCCGCGCCGGCTTTTATCCCCCTCACGACCTGGCCACGCCCCTATTCCCGAACCCTCTCTCACCGCATCTGGCCCTGTCTGTCTCTGCCCTTATGACAATTTACGACCATTAGGTCCTGTGCTTCCCCTACCGTGAACCTGCCAAAGCTTGTCGCATCAATCATTATTAGCAACCGCTTAGGTCCCACATTACCCTACCGTACCCAGTCTGTTCTCGTTACGTTAATTAGTAACCATGGCCACGGGGAGCCGTACTGTCCCTACATCACCCCGTACTGTCCTTACATATATACAAATATATGTATATACAATTTACAGACCTGAAATTCATAGTTTCATGGTACAATAACTTTTAAATATATAATAATCAATGACTCCATTTAAAATATATAACGTTGATGTGTGTTATGAGTGAAATTAGTACTTAATGATAATGGGAACTCTTTGTTGTTTCTTAACAACGAAAGCTTTGTTGTTTTTGGCTCTCTTCACTCTGCGGAAGGGCGATTAGGGGATAACTTTTTATTTATTTTACCAGATAAGGCCCACCGAGCTACATAGTTATTTTTCAGAAGCGACTTAGCTTCTGTGGAGGGAAAAACCGGAGGACCCAGAGAGACATCCACGCGGCCACGGAGAGAACATACAAACTCCAAATATACAGGCGCCAGGGTTGGGATCGAACCCACGCCCTCCTGCATACCAGGCGAGGTAGTTAACATCTCCTAGCCACCGTGGCGCCCTAAGGCTGCAATGTGAGGCTGACCTCTGCCTGCGTGGGAAGTCCACTTCACTGTCCACCTCTCCCTCCTCCTCCGAGGAGTCCAGCGCACCCTGCAGTTACATCAAAAACATTCAACATAAAACAGGCATCATCCCGTATTTCATCTTCACCCATTGCACACTGCGGTTTTTGTTTTGCGACACATAATAAAAGAGAAACTGGCACAAATATTCCAAAGCGAGACCCTCTTAAAATTCTTGAAAGTCAGTGAGACTTTTCAGGAATCATGAATTCACATTATCGCCATCCTTGTCATACCGTGTCGCCTTCTCAAGCTCTGTCCCTGATCACATCTCCTCGCCCAATTCCCAGCCAACATAATCTTGGCACACCGTCAGTAGCTCGAGTCTCGTTAGATGCTTTACGAATGGAATTGTACCGTTGTATTAGCGTGTGTATAAGCTGCATTCACATCACGGTACAACAATAAAGAACGTCTAGTTTTGTAAAGCTAGCAGCAAGCCCAACTGTTAGCACTTTGTATGGCCACCGTTAATGCCATTAGCCTCCATGTAGCGAAGCAAATTGAGTTGTTTTGGTAATATTTTCTCAGAGCGAAAAATCTGGAGCTCACAGTCTTATCAGAAAGTATTTACAGCGATACCTTTACTTTTGTCCACTTGACTTTTGTCACTTCGCTCTTTCGACCGTTTTCAATTATAACCAGATTTAAAATTTCGTCCACGTGCTTTCCTCTTTCGTCCGATTTCATCCCAAACCTTCCACGACGTTCGCGCCACGCGTCATCTTTTTCGTTCAATCTTTGAATAGAAGTCGTTCGGTGAGCATCTCTTATATTTGTGTTTATTCATATATTATTAATACTGTACTTATTTCTGTGATTATACTGCAAACAATTCATAGTTATTTTTGTGATAACAGTACAATACTACAGTGTTCATAGTTATTTTCTTGATTATAAAACACGTGTACAGTATTGTTTATTTACTTAGTTTTGTTTAATTATTCTTACGTTTATTTTATTTCTGTTTATTTAGGTTGCGCACGCATGTGTCATATAGTTACTGTAGTTATTTGCATGTACGTTTTTATATTTACTGTAGTTATTTGCATGTATGTTTTTCGCCGGCCAAAATAAATTTGCAAGCTAAATAAAGTCTCTGCCTTGACATTCGTTAATTTTTAACATTCGTCCATGCTCTGGTCCCTAACCAGACAAAAGTACGAGGTATTCCTGTAAATGAGGATAATATTCTCATGCCTTTAAAAACAATGAACCCCTAGATTGAGGGTGTTTTGGGGACTCCACCCACGGGCTGAAATTAAATATTTCAACAAGTGATTCAGTTGAAACATTATTGGTTGAGCTCAGTGGAATCACATGGAAGTGGATTATCATTATTAAAAACGTACATTTGTTAAATCTCTAATTAAGTGAAGACATTTGTATTCCAATGTATTTGTGGGGAAGTTTCATTGTGGGCGAGTTTGCCTTTACACACAGCGGCCACTGCATAGCAGCATTAGTCATTCATAATATATACACACACTGGGTTAATGACGAATATCAAACTATTAAAAACGACATGCAAATTTGTTCAGAGCTAAGTGCACCGACCAATACGCTACCTACTCAGCCACATGTATACTACTGGACTGCATCAAGACGCAACCACGTGGTCTGTCAGTAGGAGGTGTCCGCCGTACCAATCTGCGCTCTTTCCGGCCGCTGGTGCAAGACTTGCGAGCGAGCACGAGCGGGCTGTGCCGGTCAGCCGGGAGCCTCCGCGGACTCCGTGGACTCTGGCCCCTCTTAGCGATGATCACGGGGCTCAAGTCTACCGCCTCCTGCGATGCAAGCAGCAGCAGAGGTGGTGGCGGCGGCGGCGATGGCGGCACGCTCAGGCGAACGCGCCGCAACATTCGCCGTCTCGTTCCCATCGCAGTATCCGTCCAGGCGCCCCTCCAGGCTCCTGCTCTTCTTGAGCGACTCGCAGGAATGACAGGAGCCCGCTGCCGCCCGTCCCACGGTGCCATCGCCCGCGGCCGCGTCTCGCCGCGCCTCCGACTCCAACACGGAGCAGATGAGGTCGGGGCTGGAGCCGACCAGCCGGCCGGGCAGCCTCAGCGACGCGGGGCTCCGGAGTGCCGCACCCGAGCCGAAGTAACGCAGCGCGGCACGGCGCGTGTCGGAGGTGTCCTCCCCGGAACAAGGAGCAATGCGGCTGTCCGCATTACGATCGTCGTCGTCATCGTCGTCGTCGTCATCGTCGTCGTCGTAATCGTCTTCGCGGATGGGACTCGTCTTCGGGCTGCAGGCAAAGTCGGCGTGCCAGCTGCGACCGTAGGGGCGCTTGGGCCGAGGTTTTCCGCGCAGCTGGGACTTGCCGCGGCTGGAGGGCAGGTGGACGGGCACCGAGTCCAGACTGCGGGAGATCACCTCGGCTCGCAGCAGATCTGGCCTGGGGCGGTGAAAAAGGTGGCAAAACAACGGCGTGAAATTTTTCAATTTTATTGGGCAAGATAAATGTCTCTCAGTGTTAATGTACGCCAAGGTGTGTAATGCATGCCAAGGTGTGTGTTTGAGTTGCATGACATTATGTTCATCATGGTCACTACATATTAGGCTGATCCAGACATCAGCCAAGCAAGATTAAAGTTAGCCCATTGCACTATTTTCAGTTATAAAGTAGTATTTAACGACAATATACATGTTGTGGGTTTTTCATATGATGGCATGATGCTTACATGTGTTTCATTTTAGCATGTATTCTGTTCACACCATTTGAACAGTTACCTCCACAGGCGAGCAACACGGCAGCATAATAAACGGCTTAGCTTATGGCTACAACAAGGAAGCCAATGAGAGGGCTTTGTGGGGCAGCAGGTGACCCACAGTATGCACTGGTGAGCCCTACCTATGGCTGCGGCGGGGGGAGCACAGGTAGGGTGCGGGGGGCACATGTTTACGAGTGCGACGTCACCGTGACGTCGTCACGCACGCGCGGCGTCTCCGCACAGCTTCACGGGTGCAGCTCACAGGTGCCCTGTTCTCTCGGCTATTCGTGCCCCCAAAAACCTCGAGTCCGCTGACACCGCCGCCCTTGTGAGAGGAGCCAGCGAGGGAGTGCCGCCCGTTACCTGCGGGTGTACTGGGCCCCCTTGCCGGTGGTTGACCTCTTCTTGATGAGGCGCTCCACAGCATTGGGGCGGAGGGCGGGCCGGTCCCCGTGGCGCTTGTAGAGGCCCGGGTACTTCTTATCCAGGACCTGCTCTCGTCTGGCGAATTAGGGAAAAAACATACGCAATACACGTTAACTCAATGTAGCCTGCCTGGTAGTTGGGTCCATAACAATGTGTGTGTGTGGTGGTGTGTACGTATGTATGTTGAACTTCTTACGCACCGTACGTAGCCAGCCGTGCTCGAGGTTGTCTACGTACGGTTTGTTTGTATGCAAGTGTTCATACGTTCTAGATTTGAAGCTTTCGTGACTGCAAGGATTCATAATCTTAGGTTTTTTCGGTAAAGTCACGTAGGTAAAACATCAAAATTAATAAAAATAAAAATTAAATTAAATAAAGATCACGACTTTGCCTCCGAAACGTCGTGATCTTTATTTTATTTTATTTTTATTAATTTTGATGTTTTACCTACGTGACTTTACCGAAAAAACCTAAGATTAGTGTTCATACGAGCGACTGTGCGTGTGAGCGAGTGAGAATGTGCGAGTGTGCGTGAGCAGTGCCCTCCCTACCTGACAAGATCTTTCTCCCGCACCTCCAGCTGCAGCATGATGGTGCTCAGCTCCATGTAGAGGTTGTTGGCTCGCTCCAGCTTGCGTTCGTAGTGGTCACGTACGTCCAGAGCGTGCCTGAGGAGGGAAAATAACAACAACCGCTATGAACAAACACTTGATTTTTTTTAGTATGCAAATGTAATCAATTACTTAATATATTTCAATCATTTAATGATCCCAGAAGGTTAGTAAGTAAAGGGTTAAGGTTCAGTAATGCCTGCTCAGTGTTGCGTACAATTTTTTCAAAAGACGAAGCCCTGCAATTGCCACTGCTGGTGTAAGGACCTCCGCTGTAGGGAGCTCTACAGAGCTTCTCTTTATGTTATTTTAGCCTCATTCCTCACACTGGCCAGACATTCTGGAAGAGGAGGGAGAACCCAGAATTGACCGCACCACACACGAACGACTCCGCCGACTAACTGTGGTGCACCTAATTCATGCTGCTGGGCGGACAGTGGCGAGGGGATTCACCAAACCGTGCCAGGAAACTGAATCGGCGCCCTCTGGATTGCTGCTAGTAAACGTCCATGCGTTAATCCACTTCGTTGAGCTATTAGCTATAGAGCTCAGTGGACCTTACCTGGTAAAATAAAAAATAGTTTAGTTTGCATCGTTTAAAGTCCAGCGCGTCAACCATCGCACCGCGACGGCTTCCCTCGGCACGCCAAGTCGGTTGAACAACGTGGAACGAGGGTCACCTGAGCTCTTCTCGCCTCCTCTTGATGAGCTCTTCGTCCAGCCTGTGGATGCACGCCCCCTCGCTCCGGATCTTCTCAAAGTGGTTCTTCACCTCCTCGCGCCACTCCACCTGCAAGTGCACATGCGGGAAATAAAGGCCAGTGCAAGGCGCTTCACGCGCGTCTTTACGGTGTGTGTGTCGAGCCATCGTGGATGAGCGACTTTCACAGGGGCAGAGGAGACCGTATCCAGCGGCATCACTATGGGGGTTGGGTGTCAGCGTTATGCGACGCATAGGGGCCCAGTCGGCCACAAGAGGGCTCCCGAATCAACGGATAAACAAGTAACAGAAATGTGTTCAGAAAAACAAATTAAACGAAAATATATTCCAATAATTTCAACATAAATGACAAAAAACATTGTTACAAATTTTAAAAAATATTTCCGAAAAATACTACCGGTGTTTGTAACTGAACACGATTTAATCAGTCTGCATTAACCACAAGTACGTGTGGTTAATGAAGACTTGATCCCTTGCAAAAGGTTTATATTAGGTGTTTGAACATCTTAACAAATGCTATATTGCCAGAAAGGGTAAAACGTATTCTTATTTTTCATACTATGATACTGCTAAAAAGGCCCCATGATTTAGACTTTTTTTTGCTAACTGACGTCCGCATGAACATAAGACGCACGATAACACAACTCTGAGTGTTGTACCTTTAAATCTTTTAATAATAACTGTCACCGTGAGACTGTCTTCCTCTAAACCAAATACACGATGCAAGTAAAATAATACACATATAAAGTTATAGCCTACGTATTATTGCATACCGGTTTAAAACCATCCGTAGCTATCTCAGTAAAAGGGAGTCGGGAGAAAGGAGGGTAGTCGGGGAGACCCCACAGGCGCATCTTGCATAGCCCCCCCCTCCCCCCCGTTGAAACAGGTCGTTTTGTTGTTTTGGTGGCCCAGCCACCTCACATTGGAGGGGGCATGTTAATCACGAGACTAAAGAGGCACCGCTAATTTCTCTTTCAGGTATCAGGGAAACCGTGCGACATTGCTAACATTGCACTACTGTTAAGTTGGGCACCTCCGTATCGGCTGAAATTTAGGAACGATTGTGCCCACCGGTAATCCCTGAAGTTTGTATGACACTGTGTTCATATGAATAGACATGTAGTGTAGCGGGTAGCGTGCTGCGCTACGAACCTGGCAAGCCGAGCTCGATTCACGTTCTATGGCCAACACCAATGACGATTATTGGGCCTCCCGTAGGTCAACTCAGCCTCAAATGAGTACCTGGTGCAGGTGTGTAAACATCGCCACTAGGGAGACAAAGGCGGCCGGGCGTGGTGCTGGCCACTCACCCCCTCGTGTGCCATTCCGGCCTCCGTAGGCACTCGCTAACAGCACTTGCCCCAACGGCCTGTTCAGGCTATACAGTGGATTTTTATAGAGATGTATCTCATTCATACACTCGGCTCAAGTTTTTTTTATATACAATCCGCAGTGCATGGATGCTTGTGCTTTTAAAACTAGCTGCTTCCTGCTCTCAGTTTCCCATCAAGATTACAGTATTCCCTTTCCAGACTTGATTGCATTTTTCCAGCTGCTACTTTCTTAATTGTCATCACAACTGCAGTCATGATTCTGAGGTCTTTAGAGCAAAAAAAAAATCAAGTCGCTCTTGAGAAAAATTTCATTAAACTAATTTTTAATTCGGCGTTGCACTGCAGGCAAGCACCGTTGTGCCATCTGTTAGGGTGTGTGTACTAATTACCCAAAATAAAATCGAATTGTGTGTCATATTCAAGTTCGTTTCAATTATGGGTTTATTCTGGTAGGGTCACGTACTAAGGCTCGTAATTTTGTCATTGCTGCTAATCACCAGCTAGTCACATTCTCAGGATTTACCATACTCTTTGGTTCTTTCGGTAAAGTCACGTAGGTAGAAATGAAATTGAAACAAAATGAAATAATTAGCGATGTATGACTGTATGTATTCATGACCATGCGGCGCTCTATTTTGTCATGGTTTTGTAATGACTGTAGTATTAAAGAAACATATACCAACACTTCTGTTTGTTTAAAAAAACAAGTCGTAAATTGCCAACCTTTGATTAGCATGGTGGGCTACTGTACGGCGCCAAAGAAGTTCAACATACGTACATCTATAAACACAATATGTTCATGAAAAACTCGTGAAAAGTTATCAAAATGGACAGGTCCGTCAGTATCTCCACATTCAAGCATTGGGTGGCGATCATCTCAGTTACAGGCCCTAAGTCAAGTAACCGACAACACTCCTGGCCAAATTGCCTGTGATCAGCATAACTGCCAGTTGTTTTTCTTCACACTTGCTTAGCCAGGAAAGTCACACTTAAAACTGAAGTATTTCATGAGGGTAGTGTCCAGTTTTCGCAGCAGGGGGCGTCGTTGCAGCTGAGTGATCCCAAGCGAGTATTTTGAGCCCTGATTACAAAGAGCCTGCCCCTTCGAGGAGAATTACATCGATGTACCACACCTCACTTCCAACACACAGTATCACCCCCGTTGATGTCGGGGATGCGTTCGTGAAAGTTACGACGAAGAATATCGAAACGACGTCAATCAAAGTGATTGACAGGGGAGTAGAAGGTGGTGGTGGAGGCGAAGGCTGAGAGACGACGGATAAGGGAGCGTCCATAAATGACTGTCACGCGATTTTGGACGATTTTTTACTCCCCCCCCCTCCCCGCATCGTCACACGGCGTCACAAAAAGTCAGACCCCCCTCAAATGTGACGTCACAAAGCTTTGCCCCCTCCCCCCCCCGCCTCAAAAAACATATTTCCATTTTGAAAATAAAACAAGCTTCAAATCGCTTTAAACTATTGTCATTGTCGTGCGTATTTAATGTGGCGCTGCACATCGTCACAAATGTCTGACCCCCCCCCCCCACCCTAGGTGCGTGACGTCATTTATGGACGGCCCCTAACGATAAAGGATGGACGATTCTGTGAGCGACGCAAGTGTGGGTTGAGGCGACGGAAATTGGCGAGCGATGCTAATAAAGTGACGAAGTATTTGTGAAACGACATAAAAAAAGGGCGATATATATCGGGGTATTACTGTGCTTGCACGCACAAAATCCCCCAAAGTACGTGGAAGGTAGACAACAAGGTAAACAACAAGATAAACAACAAGGTAAACAAGGTAGACAATAATGTTGGTTAGGGTAAACAACAGGGGGCAGCATTGTCTTTAAGATTACTGTATCTGGAAAAATATAAATACTCGATTACCAACTGGTACTGCATTTGCAGAAATTGTCACACAAGCCCATGTTAGACGTGTCGGGTTTCTGCTGGCAAATGTGACAAGATAAAAATAATACGTAACCATTTTTTTTACGAATAATAATTTAAGCTTATATTTACCCTCGGCAAGCCTTAACGGGTATCAAGACTGGTTTTTAAGGAACGTCCTGCCAAGTTTTGCCAGTCGGGAGGCGATATTACTGCTTGTGTGCGGTCCCGATGAAGCAAATTGCAGGTAATATTCGAGCATTGGGATGTTGGCCAATACCGGTTACTTGTGTGTATTGTTTTAGCCGTGGGAGGAAACCAGGCAACCGATGGATACCCACGCACACCGAGTGAAAGTCTGCGCGTGGGAGAACGTAGCAAGTGTGGAGCACACTCACCTGGGACTGAAAGTACGTCTCCTGTGGTGTGGACAGCAAGTCAGCTGACGCAATGTCCAGGTGCAGCAAGATCTGCCGGAACGAGGGACGGTTTCTGGGCTTGCCTGTCCTGTTTCCACAGAGGACACGGACACGGGGGAAGCATGTACGCTCACGTCATCAGCCCACAGACACTGTGACTATGCCCACGAGAAATCTGAAGGAAAGCCTCCTTCAACCTAATTTGTTTGTTATGGTTTATCTTCCACCATTTGAATAGTACAGAACTCCTCTTCTCCGCCACCCCGTTATCCACGGCTACTATTATCTGTGGGAGCTGGAGTACCGACGAAACTCCTATTATCCGTGGCTCTATTCTTCCTATTAGCCACGCATGATTGTTGAATGGTGTCTGACTACCTGCGTTTTTGTCACGTTTAAGATAAATCGTGATGATTATTTGAATATGAAACACAAATGGCCAGAGAGAGAGACATTGGGAAGTGATGCGGTCAAAGCATGGTGCATGCTGGGCTCCTGCTGTGACCACAGGCGGCACAGATGCCACAAATAGACACAGGGACAAGAAACACAGAGTCATAGAGAGACACCCATAGAGAGATATAGATACACATATAAACACAGAGGCAAAGAGAAACACAGAAATACGGAGGCACATAGAGACACGGAGACAGACATGGAGACACAATGACACACAAGAGAGAGACGAGATACATAAAGACACGGAGGCATACAGAGAGAGAAACAGAGACGCACAGACACGGAGACACCTTTTTCCAATGGTATCAGAAAACATATGAAGATAAATGACAACATCCAGACTGAAGAAAAGTAAATGGTCTTGGGCAGAACATGTCACTGAAAACGATGATAAATTGTGGTGTAAGATTAATAAAGGAGCGACAACCAGGGAATGATGTAACACATCCAAGGGGACGTTAACAGAGGAGATGGAGTGATGAAATCAGCCCGTGTGCAGGTGCTGGATGGATTGTTGCATCGCAAGTGCATGAAAGGTGATGGGCGCTTGGGGAGGCCTTCATCCAGCAGTGGATTGAACGTGGACGATGATGTTGAATATTTGCAGATAAATATAAAATATAACTAGTTATGTTCTTGGTTCTTTCGGTAAAGTTACGTAGAAGGGAAATAATTAAATAATAACAAATTAAACATAATAAAATACAATTCTCGACGCTGTCTTTCCAACAGCCCTGTTCTTCACCTGAGGACGGCTGCTTGCGTTGTGGCCGAAACGTCGTGAGAATTGTATTTTATTATGTTTTATTTTTATTATTTTATTATTTCCCTTCTACGTGACTTTACCAAAAGAACCAAGAAGATGAATCCCTGCAGTCACGAAAGCTTTAAATCGAAAACTAGTTATATGCTGATTTTAGAAAGCCACTGGAGCTATGCACTTTTAAATCGAAATTGGAAAATAATTTCTTTAGAACTACTTTGAGTGTCCTTCCCCGGCACCTCCAATTGGCACGGCTGGCGACGTACTGCATGAAAGTAGTTTAACATACATACTGACTACACACAATCCAGTTTTTTTCATTTAAAGACAATATCCATGAGCTGGCTTTTACATTGTGGTTAAACAAAAGAATGAATTACAGCTTGCTGAAGTCAATGGAATTGATGGCGAAGGCCATCAAGGTAGATCACGATCTAACGATTGGTTAACGTGTGGTACTCTGATTGTGGGTCAGAGCAATTGGAATGGTTTCCATAGCTGTCAACCCATACGGTTTACCCCGTATTCTTGTAGAGGGAAATTGAGTTTTCAGGTCTATACGGCATACAGCTGTTTCAATTCGGGAAAAATAATATATATTTGTCTATTTGTTCGTGTTTCTCCCCTGCGATGGGGCTTTGTAGGATGGACGTTGAGATTTATAAGGGCACGGGGTGAACAATAAGGTCTGAATTGGTCTGTAATAAGGTAGGCACTGATGAGGGGTTGGCAGGTATGGGTATCCCACACTCAGTACATTTCCCATGTGGGTTGCACCGTTCTGGAGTAGGGCTGGATTTAATCACATTTTATTGATGGGAAACATCACATGAAGAAAAATGAACGTGCAATGCTTCACGTTTAAATTACTGATTCGGGAATAAGTATGCACACAATGAAAGTGATTGAAATGTTCTGAATTTAAATCTGAAAATAATAAATAGAATCTGACGTTGGGCCTCAAAATCCAATATCTGAAAAGATTGATCTTAAATGTATCCCGAAAATGTATACGTAGTATATATTGCATATGCAGATTCAGCTAAGTTACCTTTTTTAATACTTTTTTTAAATGAACAGCTGTGTGCTCTAACAAGTCACATTTGTTTAATCTTCCATTAATTAAACAACCATTTTGTCTCCTAAACCTTTACAGCACATTTATGAACGTGATAAAAAAAACATGAATTCGTTAAAATTATGACAAGATTTAAACAAATGCAAACCTGTTGCTTGGTCAAAATGGTTGACCAGAGAGATACAGAGATGAGTTGACCGACTTGACATCGGAGAGTGAATAACATTTACAATAAAACAGTTACTACATTTGTAAGGAATTTGAAGCCTAGGCAGGTTTTTATTATTATTTCAAATTCAGTGTTTAATGTAAATTGTTGTCTCACGTGGTAGATTAGGGTCGTGAACTTGCCGTTGAATTCCGTTTTTTTACTGCCGTTAAAAGGTCCAGGGGCGAGTTTCACGTATGTATATTGTTTGCCTTGCGATTGCCAGAGGATCTCTGAGATCAACTTAACTGCAGACAATGCACTTGCCTGGTAGCTGCACATAAAACAATAATTTTCACTAACCTGCTTCCGTTTCCACCATTAAAACAACCCCCATCTCTTCTGCCTTGCCCATCCTACTGCTGCTCCCTGCCCCCTAGCTAGGACCAGGCCTGCCCCAACCACTATCACTACCCTTATCATTACCCCAACCCCTATCACTATCACTACCCCAACCCCTATCACTACCCCAACCCCTATCACTACCCCAACCCCTATCACTACCCCAACCCCTATCACTACCCCAACCCCTATCACTACCCCTATCACTACCCCAACCCCTATCACTATCACTACCCCAACCCCTATCACTACCACAATCCCTATCACTACCCCAACCCCTATCACTACCCCTATCACTACCCCAACCCCTATCACTACCCCTATCACTATCACTACCCCAACCCCTATCACTACCCCAACCCCTATCACTACCCCAACCCTTATCACTACCCCTAACCCTACCCAACTCTCCCAAACCACTACCCATCTGATCTCCTGTCACCATAACTGCACTATCACTTTTAATAACAACCCCATTCTTTATTATTTCAACCACTATCATCGTATGTACAATTTTATGATTATTGTAAAGTGCCTTGGAATACGGCGCGATATACATCTATGTAAGATAAGAAGATCAAACAAACCCTAAATCCCATGAAAATTGGCAAACATGCCACCAACTATTCACTATGTGGCGATACTTGTAATATACATCAGGATACTTTTAATCCCCTTTATTGTTTTGTTAGTCAATAGATAAATGTCTTAAATGTATTTTTCCATGGTGTATGGGAAGATGAACATGAAATGTGGGCATTGACAAAGAAAATGGAACTACAATTGATGAGTGCACAGAGAAGCATAAAGCGATGCATGCTAGGAATTACACTGGAGGACAGAAAGAACGAAACATGTATTCGACACCAAACACGAATAAAATACGTCGTGTTGACTGTTCAGAAGGTAAGTCAGCTTGGGCAGGGCACGTCGTGGCTTGAAGGGATGATGGCCAGTGGTCAGGACTGGTGACGGAAGAGCAGCTAAAGGAGGGAACGCACCTAAGGGGACGACGGTCAGAGATGGAAGTGATAGCTGTCGCATGACAGCGAGACAGACATTGTGGCATCACAACACTACTTGGGATGGCTTTGGGCATAAGGAAACCCTTTCATCCAGCAGTGAAGAGATCGTGGCCGAAGAGATGAGAAGATGGCATGAAAAGAAATGAGATGATGATCAGGTGTTTCCGGTGTGAAGGCTGCTGCATCTGGTTACCAGCATTGTGTGAGGAGGATCTTGAAGCCATCGGGACAGGATGTGGGCACAGGCAGGTGCAGGCTGTTGCTGCCCACGCCCCAGATGATGGCCGAAGAGTCGACGTCTCTGTACGGGATCTCCCCTGTGAGCAGCTCCCACAGAACCACGCCGAAAGACCTACAGACGCGCGTACAACACACACACACACATACACAAAGATCCTTCACAGTCTTTTAGGACAAGTGCCGTTTCACGAGCACCTATGAAGGCCGAAATGGTACACGAGGTGGGTGGGTGCCCCCCGCCCCCCGCCTGGCCACCTTTGTCTCCCCCAGTGGCGATGTTTACACACCGCACCAGGTACTCGTTTGAGGCAGAGTTGGCCTAAGAGAGGCCCAGGACTGGCTCAGATAATCGTCACTGGTGTTGGTGGCCGTGAGCGGGAATTGAAGTTGCATCGCCGGGTTCGTAGCGCAGTGTGCTAACCACTGCACAATTGCTCCCCAGAAATACACAAGCACCATGCACTAAACACCGCATAAACAAACACAATCATTACACACGTGATCATGAAAGCCACAGAATATTCCCCGTCATAATTTTAGGGGTCACCACAAGCGCGACAAATGCAACGCAGCACCATATCATGTTTCTTGTAAGAGGTCGAGCGTTGTTAACGGTAAACGGTTAGGTGTTACATTGCTAATTTAAAGTCAGACGGCGTCGACGGAAGGTTTTGAATGTCTGTGGGCTGGCTCTGTGGTTGTGGTGGCGCCTTGGCATCGGTAATCCAATCCTAACGAGGCGCATGCCATCTGTCGCCCGGGGATGCCACGCAGGGCCCACAGAAGGGACATCTGTACCCAGCAGAGGAACACCGCGCCCTTCCTCGGCAGTCAGCGCCAACGGGGGACTAATCACTGCTCCGCTGCCCATCAAGTTGCTGATGGGGCTCCACAATAACGAGACGGGCTGAGCGGAAATGCCCCAGCGGCGATGATATTAAGCGGCATCGCCGGCAGTTTACCTGTTTCTGTGTTATTTCAAAAGCAGAGGCTACTTATGACGTTGTGGTTTTATGTGGAATTTGGACAAGGGCACATATTTTGGGGCGGGGGAGGGAATGCCCCCACAGACCCCCTCCAAAAAAAACTTGCAACGTACGCGCGCGCACACCCGTTGATGGCTCGACAATAGGATCACGACGCGTAATTGATGTGGCTGTGGTGAGACACAGGTCAACAGACACACACACACACCTGTCCACACGCTCGAATGAGTGATGTATGGGGGGGGGGTCATCTCTACTAGTACTGTACTGCTAGTGGTGGAAAATTCCACTGACTTACAAGTGAGCAACGGCTCTGCATAGGATTAATTTACTTTCATTTTATTGATCGTGCATAAACGAGCCGAGTTGACCCCCCAACCGGGGTTTGAACTGGTGCCTATCCGCTTGTGTGTGTGAGTGTTGGCTGCTATTCCATGGGGATATCAACTACAGCCGTAGAAAGAAAGACTGCGAATATCGTACGGAACCTCTTCCAAGACGTCTGACCAGTGTGGAAGAGTAGGCAAAAAAAAACATACCCTCTTAAGAGGCACTTTCTAACGTTCCATCAGGAGGTCGGCAAACCGAAATAGCAAGAGGAGCAATTTTCTTTGAATTCGGTTGAATAAAAAAAACCCTGGAATATTTCGAGAGCCGCCAATGGCAATGGTGAATGAATACAAGACGGATTCTTAACGAGGAAGCGTAAAACCTTATTTTTTGTCATCACTATTTTAAGAACTTGCACACGGCACCATGATTTGTAATTGCCGCATTACAAGTCACAGTTTGACTTTTAGACGTGGACCGTTAATCTAAAATAATTGTAGTGTCGGCAGCCACGACGCAGCCCCTTCAAGCGCCGCATGCAGCTCCAGAACCGCAGTTTGCCGGCTCAGCAGCACTGTGAGCAAGCAAACGCAGTACTGTGTGCAAGTGTTTGCACTGTGTGCAAGTGTTTGCACACAGTACTCATTCTTTTATGGCTATACGGTGCAGTATAGAGTCAACAGCACGTGTAACATTCACATCGAACGGGCAGTAATGACAGTTATTATGAATCACAACTTTGCCGCCACGAAGGTTTTCAGCAGCTGCAGCTGCGGTGACAATGAAAGGGAGAGGGGCAGCGTGGGCCAGAATCCAGCTCAATTTAGGAGCAGGGCCCCCATACATTTGCTTCACGTTCAGAGCCACAGCTGCCCCCTGCGTGCCAGCCAGGGCGAGGCTGGCACCACGTGGAACGCTGTGGTGGACAGCCTCACGTGCAACCACGCCGTGTGTGGACCATTGCCTGCAGCTGCTAGCCGCTAGCCTGCCACACGCCCTCTTTGTGTGTACACGTTATGCTGAACTTCTTTCGCACCGTACGGAGTGGAATCTATCTGCCGGCTAACAACAACATGAACACAGTCATACATTGATATGCGAACTTTGGATTTATTACCATTATCTTAATGACTATTAATTGAATGGAAATAAATAAATACCAATATATTTAAATAAATCATACGCAAATAGATCTCTGGCACTTTATAAATAAGAATAACATTACGTTTCTTCGTGACTTAGATTATATTTACATCAGTTTATTTATTTATATAAGTTATAATAATGTACAGTATAAAATATAACGTTATTTTCAAAATAAATAATGTTTGTTTACAATATGAAGGGAAAGTTATGAAGTGTTTATAATATGAAATAGTAAGTTACGAAGGCTGGGAATGCATCCTCATAGTACGAATGTTATAGGTTATTCAAAGTACGAATTTTAAATATACAAAGCACCCAGAACGCATCTACTTCGTATATCGAGGTATTCCTGTACACGGACGATACACCTCGATTCCTCTCCCATTATCAGTCGCTTAACATACACAATAAACGTGTGTTTATTTCCACATCCGATCAGCCAGACAGACTAAATACTATTTATTTGTAAGTGCGGGACAAATATTGGACGGAGGCGAACTGTCGTATTATTCATGATGCTGTTAACTTATAATCGCCACAAAGACGCTGATGATTGCACTGCCTAGGATCGCCACGTGTCCTGTTTTTCCCGAGTGCTCTTTTTGAGGAAGCCGTCTTGAGAAATCTGTAAGTATTCCCTGAGACATTCAGAGTCTTCTTATCAGCTGTATAATAATCATAATACACCACTCAAGACATGGGCGTGGAGTGCTCCCTTTGTCCGGTATTGGGAGATACTGTATATCTTTCGTTGCTATTTCCCAGTATTTTGTACGTCAGACTCTCAGAGGGTGACAGCCCCAACTCTGCCGTTCCACCTGTGGCAAGGTGGAATGAGTGACGGGGACAGACGTTCACAAATAGCCGCGGGCGGCATCGGGTCACGATGGCTGTGAATCTGCCACCGGGGGGCACAGAAGGTGGCGGTGGAAAACGGAGAGGCAATTTGTGCCCCTGAATGTTCTCTTGGCACCGTTGACTTCTCATAAAACATAAAAAAGTAGAGGTGTCGGTGCAGCCCTGCAACTGCTTGCTCACAACCACTGCTGGCAGAAGGGCCTCCATGAGAGGGAGCTCTGAGGATATCTATTTAGTATGTACACATAGAGGGGGTGAGGGGGGGGGTAACCCAAATGTGTACGCTTGCGTATGGGGAGGATCTACTGACAATGTACGTACGCATAGGAAACGGAGGGGGGGAGGGTGAAGCCTCGATAATAATTTGTCTACATTGGCCTTCAAATGAGTTAGATAGTCTGCGTACAGGGAGGGGAAGAGGGGTCAGGTTTTGACAGATTTTTGCGTACCTACTCAATGGATGGCCCCTCCCGAGAGCCACTCTCGAGAGGGCATTTGGCCTAATCTCCCACACTGGCCACGCACGCATATTATACACATCTCGGAAGATGTCAGGTAACACAAAATATGTCATGTTGAAAACTAATATCTGAATTGAAAACGTGTGTCTTCAGAACTGCTGTTTGTGTTTCATTGGGTTTCCTTCCACCGCACTTCCGATTAGCACGCTTGGCCTACGTACGGTGCGAAATAACTTCAACACGCAGTCAGGGCCGGATTAAGGAATTTGCTTTCGGGGCTGCAGCCCAGGGGCCTCTGCCAGCTGGAGGGCATCCAGAGATTAAGTGAAAAGTAATTTCATTTGTGAATGCGGAATTTTATTTGTTGTGAGCGCTGTAAAAAATATTTTTTCTTTAACTTTGTTTTCCTTTGGAAAAAAATACTGGGGAACTCACAGTACCTGTAGACTCCGGGGGCCTACAAAATCTTAATCCAGCCCTGCATGCAATACATACATGTTGTGTGAGTGCTTCCATGGCTGTTTGCTCAATGAAAATGCGCAGAAGAAATGTCCTTCAGAGCAGCAGCTGCGGCACGGCCGACACGGCTCGTGGGGACCGAGCAGTGGACATCTCTTGCACGATGAACATGGCATGGGCACAGTTGGTGTTCAACTTCCGTACGAAGAGTAATGCAATTTATGCAACCAAAGTTATTTTAAAGTCCTTTCCTTTCGTGTACTTTAAATGTATATTCGGTAAATCGAGGTGTGCAAAATGTTTGATTTTAGTGTATTTCAAAAGACTCTCACCTGGTTATATGAAAAACTAAAAATTCTGTATTTGTATCACACCGTTGTCAATATAAATTTGTGGCACGTAAGGTTCATCACGTGTGACTGTAGTGAACAGGGTGATTGAAGCGATTGTAAGTGAACAGGGTTCAAAGCGATGAAAAGTAAAGATGACAACCGGAGCCGGATGAAGTAATGCTTTTGCGAAACTGAATTTGATCATGGATAGCAACATGCCAACGTACCACGCTCTATAAACACTGGCAATCACTGCACACCATTTGCTGCAGCATATGTATGTTTGGGGAACTTCTTTCGCACCGTGCAAATCGGAGGTGCGGGGGGAAGGACAACAAACTCAACCATTCCGATACGGATCACAAACATGGGACATTGACAAAGGAGAATGAAACGAAATGCGAAAGAAAGTGCGGCAAAATAAGCATGGAGAGAAGCGGGCTTGTAATTCCACTGAGACACGAAGGCGAGCAGGTGGATGAAGCCAAATATGGAAATTAGAGACGTCATATTGACTGTTAAAGTAAATAACTGGGCTTG